ATATATATATATATATATATACACACACACACACACACACAAGTCATAGTTAATGGGCATTTCCAGGATACAAAAAAGAGCAATAACAGCATCTATAACCTGCAGGTTTGGTTTTGGAGGAGATCATCTATGAAGAAGTCTGAGGATCATAGTGATAAAATACTCAGTATATGAAATCCAAACAGATTTCTTTTTGATGTATTACAAATGCGAGAATACTTTTGTTGCATTCATCATTAAAAGCGTGACATCTTCCTGTAGATAAACAACCCGCTGGTCCAGCTCCATCACCCCCACCACTGAACGTATCAAATACGTTAGACTTCAAACGCAAAAAAAAAGAAAAATCGATCGTTTTACAAAATTACATATACTAATCAAAGCTAAAATAAAAAAAACACTAAATTAAAATATTAGGTTCCACCGAGATTTGAACTCGGATCGCTGGATTCAGAGTCCAGAGTGCTAACCATTACACCATGGAACCGCCTGACAATACCGGCAGAAGTAACACATATTCATACATTATTTGTATTCGTTCTGATAGATTGGACACATTTTTTGCTGGCTAACAACCCCAATAGAGGAGTTGACACTGTACTTTATGCGGCTCCATCCACATTTAATGACTGCGGAGGGCTTTCATGAGACATGTCGGATTGGCTGGTTCTTCTCACCAAAAGAGCTGGAGGTTGAACTGACTTTTTTGCTACCAAACAAATCGCTCTCGTTGATGGAAGTGTATCTCACTGCACAACACGCCTCTGTCTTGTAACCTACACCCCTCTACCATAGATATCCATAATAATGGATATTATGGATATCTATGCCCTCTACTGCCTTCTTCTTCTTCACGGGATTTTATTGGCTGTTGGCACGCAACGAAATGGTGCATTACCGCCACCAACTGGTATGGGGTGTGGATCTGAATGGCTACTACCTACTTACACTGAACAAAGCAAAATCAACAAAACAAAAACCAATAAAACCAAAATAAGATTCAAATCCTCTCAATTACACTGATTAATTTAAGTTAATGAAAAACAATTACATAACACTTATCTCTTGAGTTCTTTCTAAGGATTTCTATTAAGGTGTATTCTTTCTTTATTAAGATTTTGAACCAATTCTCTCCTTTTCTTTCATACTTCTTACAGTGTACCATAACATGTTCAATTGTTTCTTGTTGTTCACAGTATTCACACCTACCGGCGTTATGCTTAACTGTTTTGAATAAAGTAATGTTTAATCTTGTATGTAAGGAATTGGATTGGGGCCACTGAAAAAATAAAAAAGGTTAACTGATTTTAAAATTTTATTACAGTTTAGATATCTGACTTTTTTTTCTCAGAATTCTAACTCTAATCTCAGAATTCTGACTCTAATCTCAGAATTCTGACTCTAATCTCAGAATTCTGACTCTAATCTCAGAATTCTGACTCTAATCTCAGAATTCTGACTCTAATCTCATAATTCGGACTCTAATCTCAGAATTCCATCTTTAATCTCAGAATTCGGACTCTAATCCGAGAGTTTAGAGACTAAAGAGTCTTTTTAGAGACTAACTCTCTTGTTTTAATCACTTTCTGCTCTTCCATTAATGAAATAGCATCTCCAGGGACCCCTCAGGCATGTAAAAGTCACATTATTCCGTCATTTTTTACCAATATGTTACTGGCTCTCTCAAACAACTCACACCTCTGTCAGTGAAGCTAAGTGCTCCCACATCTCTTCCTTCATGGTGCCCATCTACATTAAGATTTAAATTTCTGAGATGAAAGTCAGAATTCTGAGTTAAAAAGTCAGAATTCTGAGATTAAAGCCAGAATTTTGAGAATTAAAGACAGGATTCTGAGATTTCCCCATATTAAACTGAAATAATAGTTAAAAATCAATTAACTTTTTTTTATTTTTTCAGTGGCCCTAATCCTCTTCCGTATTTATGCCCAAATATAAAAGTCTATAAAATAACGCTTCTTCTCTTCCCTGCACATCTCATTTCTGCCACTCTCCTCTGAATCCCATAAACCGAGTATCTGCCTGGTGAAGACGCGCCACTCAAAAAGAGGAGTTTAAACCACGCCCAGCCGCCGGCACTCAAAGCTTCGCCGGGTGACAAATGGGGCGCACCCTGAAAGTATATTAAGGGAAATGATTTCGCAATTTCTTTTCTTTAATATAGAAATTATGTGACATTTAGGGAGCTTTGTATTAGCTTTTTTTTAAGGATCCGCCTATATATAAGTAGTTACATTTGTGTTTGTTTCAAGCCTTTTTTCTAGAACATCTGAGGTATTTTTAGCAAGGTTGCTAAGGTTAGCAGCTAATATTTACCCCATGTTTGGATGTTTTTTTGTTTTGGATGGGTGGGGGGCGGGATCTCTTGCTTCACTTTAAAGCTTGTTAACAGTAAAACCTAAACGTTTACGAGCGTTTTAGCCCGTGTTTTCCTGCTAACAGCTGGAGTTAGCTACAGCTAGCCGCCCCGCGCGAGGCAGAGATAAAGAGAAGTCTGAAGTGACAAAAAAGAAAAAAAAATCAGATTATATGGAAAGCAGGTGAGGTCATGCCTGGTGTTTTGTCAGTGTTGCCCAACGGTCCTGTTCTAACGGCAGCTAGCAGGTCCCGCTAGCATCAGATAGAATCATGCCTGGGATGGTGGTGTTCGGGAGGCGCTGGGGGATCGCCAGCGATGATCTGGTCTTCCCCGGTTCCTTCGAGCTGCTGCTCCGTGTAATTTGGTAAGTTGTTGCGTTTCCTACACATATTTACCATTACACGTTCTTTAACTGAGTTCTGATGTCTGATGCTGTTCCTCACCAGGTGGATTGGCACCATGATCCTGTTCACCTCTCATAAGGGTCACTTTGATTGTAACGGCAGAGCAGTTCTCCACACCTACCTGGTTGGACTGCTGGTTGTGCTGGGCTTCATCATCCTGTCACTGTGGGCCATTGTTTATGTCAGTGCCCAAGGTAAATAAACCACAGAAGTCATTCTGATTCCTTCTTTAATGCTGAGACTTTAAAGATTGCTTTATTTCAGGATAGAGAAAATATTGGCTGAATGTTCTTAGATGGTGCTTTAATCTTAAAGGTATGATTGAATCAGTTCATGCAGAAGGTGCATCAAACTGCACATTGGTTCATGCATTTACTAAAATGAGCATTTTAGTCTTGATTCTTTAATCCAGAGGTGCTCAAGTTCTGCAACTAATTCTTCTTTGTTAAATTGGCCGATTGCAAACAACTTATAGGTGCATACCGCCAAAATATCCTGCAACTTTTTGATGCAACCATTTTTAACACACCTGAATCGAATGTGTGACTCCTTACCACACCACTGCAGAGCTAAATAAGGGGATTGAGGCTTTAAAATAAGGTGTGTTAGAGAAGAGATGCATCTAAAAGATACAGGATGGTATCTCTTGAGGATTGGACTTGAGCACTCCTGCTTTAATCAAATAAGAAAAAGTTGACAGATCCATCCTGTCACCATCACATTGATGATAATAATTGAACTTTATTGACGTCACATTGGAGAAATTTACCTCTGCGTTTAACCCATCTCCTTGGGGAGCAGTGGGCTGCCATTGTGCGTCGCCCGGAGAGCAGTGAGGGGTTAAGGGTCTTGCTCAGGAACCCAGGCTGTGGGAATCAAACCGTGTACTTGCAACCTTTTTAGAGTAAAAGCTGTAACCACTAGTACACCACTCCCCGGGGATGTCACAATATGCTAATATTGTGTAAAACAATGCAGGAAGTGGGGGGAACATTTTTTCCTGCTCTATGATGAATCACTGGCACCTTTATGCAACTTTTGCAACAAATGAAAGTCCTTTTTTTTGTATCAATGTTTGTGTCATGAAAAGCCTTTTCTCCTGTGATTAACGCTGGTATCTCTGGGTTATTCCTCTCAGGAACTATTACAAATCCCGGAGCGCGGCGCTCCATGCCCGCCCTGGTGTACCTGCGAGCTGTGCTTTACATCCCTGAGTTCGTTTGGGCCTGTCTGGGAGCCGTCTGGGTGTCTGATGACAGCCGCGGTTGTGATCTAGCTACTGTGGGTGCAGTCATCGCCGCTGTGGTCACCAGGTGGGAGCCTTCAGAGTGCCATTTAAAGTCTGTGTGAATACAGTATCTTAGGGTGGGTTGGGTTTATGATGCGATAAGTTTGAAACGGATTCAGTATTCAGGAGAATTTAATTCACATTATGCTTTAGATTTGTAGTGTCTTCTTTTTTTTAATTTTTTTTACTGTGGTAATTCATTTTCCTATTCTTTTGGTTTTATTCACCCGATGCTTTTAACATATCTATAGCCTCGTCCTAATATTCAGTCATGGAATATTACCAGGACTCTGAACTGGTTCTGCAAATGACTGCACCATGTTCTGACTTTATTTTCATTATATTTTCTCCCAATATTACTAATTTATTATCATTAGATTTTTTTTTCTCGTAATATTAGTCATTTTATCCCGTTATTCCCTCTATAAACAGTTGATGCCCCAATACTCCATCATAGATCTGTTTCCGTTCCAGATACCAAAGTGATCACACCTGACTTAGTTTAAAAAATAAAGATCTTACATTTCTGGATTAAATTGATTAAACATGATCTTCTAATTTTCTCAAAGCTTTATCCTATAAACAATGAGCTCTATTGAGCCAAACATACTCAAAATGTGTAGAGTCATCTTTGAGGACACCATTTCACTTTTCTGTCACCAGTTCACCGCGCTTCTTCCAGCAGTCCACACTTTCTTTGACCTTTGGTTGCTTATTTATTAGATGTTTAATCACAATGAAATATAATATAATACCCAAGTATGTTAATATGCTTTTCTCACTTTTTTTTTTAATTTTCCATTTGATGGAAAAGTGTTTCACAGACACTTGAAAGAGCATGAAACAGCTAGGATGAGGCTGTCAACGTCTAATAGCTTAACTTTGATGTAGAGTCAACCAGAGATGGGAAACTGCTGCCCAGCATGTTGAATACTCAACATTTGAGCTTTTTTCATCTATTCTTGCATCAAAATGAAAACTTTCTACTGTTTTTCAGTAAATGGGGAGATGTTTATAAGGTTGTGGGTTCAATTCCAGCTCAAGGAAGGCACCAAAGTAAAAAAAAAAAAACAGGAAAAACTGATCCTAAAATCGGGATTGCTGCCAGGAGTCCCATATCATCCGACTTTAACCCTTTCCTTTTTATCTTTCCAGCTGGATCATCCTGCTGTTCACAGGGCTGGGTGTAGTTTTCGTCTTCGACCCGATTGGCAGCCCCCGTCCTCAGCCGGGGCCCGTGGAGCCGCTGGGAGTGCGGGACATGGAGAGCAGCGAAAGCAGCCAATTCCTGTCCACGGCGCGCTCTCTGGCCACCAGGGTGTGGGAGTGCAGGCTGCGGCTGCTGTGCTGCTGTCTGCCGCAGGACGAGAGCCACCGAGCGGCTTTCTCCAGCATCTCGCAGCTCTTCAGCGACTTCTTCTCTGTAAGCGACAGGTTCTGCTTTATCGGCCGGGGTCAAACATGGGGTCCGCTGCTTAAGATTCCCTTTGTGTGAACCGTAGGACACAGACCTGGTTCCCAGCGACATTGCAGCCGGGTTGGCTCTGCTGCACCAGGAGCAGGATAAGATGGAGCGCAGCACAGACCCAGAGGAGATCCTCAGCCACAGCCCTTCCTCTCCGATTGTAAGTAACAAGTTTACAGTAAAAACTATTAGTGTTGCCTTTTTTTGCCCCAATACGATACCTGATACCTGGTTTTTACAGTATTGGCCGATACGGATACCATCTGTTTGAAATTGATGTGTGTGTATATATGTAGAACTGCATCCTACTTGGATGTAAAATAATTGCCATCATGGCTTTATCAAGCTGCTGCCTACCTTTGGAATCAGGAAAAAGACTAAAACAAAGTAAATCCAGTAGAACTTTTTAATGCCTACTTGGAAAAGTTGACAATAGTTGAATAAACGTTTGGCTCTTAAAATGGTATCGGTGCCCTATTTGTTGGTACTCGCCGATACCAATACCACCATTTTAGTGCTGATCGGGGACCTGCCTGATACTAATCTGTATCGTAGCAACACTAAAAAACTATGCAAACAAATGAATCCCCACAAAACGGCTGTTGATGTTCAACATATTTTTTTGTTGCTCTAAGGACGAAGATCTGCAGACAGAGTTGGAGAAAGCGGCCCACTGCATGCAGTTTGCAGCTGCCGCTTACGGCTGGCCGCTGTACGTCTTCTCCTACCCCTTTACGGCACCCTGCAAACTCAGCGGAGACTGGTGAGACGCTCTCTCCTTCTGAGGATCGGAGTTATCTACATTAGGCTTTGCCTCGGTTTAACCCCAAACATCTTTATGCAGCTGCAGAACCCGGGCTGCTGAGTATGACATCGTCGGAGGGGACCACCTTGGCTGCCATTTTTCCTCCATCCTGGAAACCACAGGTCTGCAGTACAGAGATTTTATACATGTCAGCTTCCACAACCAGGTTAGTCCTCTGATTTTTCTGGCCGTTTTCTGATCTGTTGTGTTTGTGAGAACCGTCTAACCAGGCCTGGTTTGTTGCAGATATACGAGATCCCGTTTTTTGTGGCTTTGGATCATAAGAGGGAAGCCGTTGTGGTGGCTGTCAGGGGAACGCTTTCACTGAAGGTAAGCTGGGACCTCAGATGATTCATTTTTTAGTAGATTTGTGCAACATTACAATAAAAATGTGTTTTTCACAATCGGGACATAAAATATCAAACGAGTGTTCAGACCAAACACAGTTCCCTGCTCCGCTCTCACCTCATGCTAATCGATAGAACTGAGTTGTCGTCAAACAGCAGCACCACATGGAGAGAGAAGAGCGTTGCGTTAGTTGTGTTGCTGCAACTAATCAGGGACTGGTTAGTTGTGACATAGGTGAAAGAAATGCAACCAAGACTAAGCTTTTTATCTGTTAAAATTTGTAGAGGTTTTTAGTTGGCTTTAACAAAAAGTAGTCTTAATTTAGCCCTAGAAGGACTGTTCATCGTCCTCCCTTACCTCCAGCACACGCCACAGTCTGTCACTGCCCAATGCCCAGCATAGCTGCTTTCTGAGGGGCTTGATATACAAGGAAGTACTACCGAACCAACCGCCATCCAGACGCCATCCAGACGCAGCTCTAAAAGTGGTGTCTTTTTTTTTCCTTTTTTCTTTTTTTTCGCCGTTGGGGCTTTTCCAAATATATATGGTCTCCCGAAGGCGATTCTAAAGTTGTCCATAGAGAACAATTTAGCAGCTGTCTGTGAAGTTCAGTTTCACCTGTGCTTTTATTGTCCGATGATGACGAGGAGACCTTGAGAGAAAATGCTATGGGGTTGCCAGGGGTAACGCCAGGTCCAAAGCGAAGGGTCTGGGAGGCTGGTGATTAGCTAAATATTAAACAATCATACCCATCAAACATTTTAAACAATAAACCAAAACAAGAACAGTTTACCACTGTTGTCGGGCAATACCTGTGTAACTAATTAATGTCTTATTTATAGTGCAAAAGATGAATTATTAGTAGGTTTATCCAAAAGAGCACAACACAAGAGTATTGATGAAATCCAGACTATTCCAATAGGATCTGATGGTTCAACAAACCTTATTAGCTCTGCACAGAGCAAACTATGGCCTTTAACCACCTGCTCTGCAAACTTGTTTTTTTCACCGCAAACTGTGTAATGAGCAGGAAAAAAAATCACTTTAAATGTCCTTTTTGTAAAGACGCCTCTCAAACAAAATGTTTTTCTATGGCTGAAGTAAACAATGTAACAATGTAAACCTCCGGAAAATGGTTTAAGGTGTTGTTCGCACATTCTTCAGTTTAATAAGAAAATATATCAAATGTAGGAAAAAGGTAATGGAAAAAAAAAAAGAATAAAACAATTAGAAAGAGATAAAAGGAGGAGAAGAAGTTGAAGGAAGAAAATGGAGAATAGTAGTGATGGGTTCATGAGGTGTCATGAGGATATTATCGATGCTGTCACTGAATACTGACACCTGCTGGACATTTAAAGTCACTACAGGCAGCCTCTTTGACAGACTGACACTGATTTGATTACCTATGATATTAGTAAAGCCACTTTTTGCTAAAATGTATCATTTCATATTAATCATTTAAATTGAAAATATGTTTGATATTTTTAGCTGCAGTTCATAAATGTGGAAATACAACAGGAAGATTTTAGTGAACGTGTGAATAAGGATATTTGTGGACTAGGATTTATTTATTGAAAACAATAACTACAGTATGAACAGCAAACTAAGAGTCAATTTGAATTCAGATGAGTTCAGTGTAGGCCTGAAACAATTAATCAGATTAATTATGATTAATCAATTATTGAAATAATCAGAAACTAATTTAGTAATCGACTAATCGTAAACTGGAGTATAGAGACTCTAAAACATGCTTTTAGCTGACAGCATTACGGACTTAGAGCAGTAATTCTACTACAATTGTAAAAAAAAAAAAATATATATATATATATATATATATATATATTACATTTAAGATAAAAAGATATTTTTCATCCATCAATCTGCTCCATCTAGAACCTCTCAAGTAGAAAACTTTTAGTTTCACCTGGTTTGATTTCATTAAAAGTTTTCTTTAAAGAAGGCTTGGCTTTCTGATTATTAATCGATCAATCGAAAATGTTTGACGGAATCAATTTCCAAAATAATCGTTAGTTGCTGCCCTAGCACCTAAATTATAGCTGAGAGGAACTGTATGTCACAACCTGAAAATTAAAATAAATATGAGATCAAAAGGGTCCCACTCGGCTGAAACACCGTTTTTGCCTTGAGGCTGCTTCATATTTCCTGATTATTTTGATGATAAACCACAAAAGATCAGAGATTTTTTTTTTTGACAGATGCACTTATAAAAACAGTTTAGTGCATCAGTCAGTTCAAAATGGCTCCCCTAATGGCCATGTGAAAGATGGGCCCATTGCCCATTGCCGATGCACTGGTGTTGCTGGACCATAACTACAGAATAGTGTATCTAACTGAAGAGACCTCTGATTGGATTTATACATTTATTTTATTTTTAAATACGAATAGGAGTTTATAGGAATTCTTTTTTCTGTATCTTTTTTATCTTTTTATTGTGTTTAAGGATTGTGACATCAAACATACACGAGTGAAGATTCTCAGTCATAGTCTAAGTCATTGCAAAAAAAGAAAATGAAAAACAATATACTGGAAACACTGATTTGAAAAAAATCCAGAAGATTGTTTTTAATTTTCCTTTTTGGAATGACATCAAACATATTATAACATTGGAATGGAAAAAGAATGAAATCAAAACAAAATGAAGTCTTAAGGCTGATTTATACTCAGAAACCAGGTCTGCATGTGTCGCAGTTAACCCAGATATGCCCCGCCCCTTACGCAGACACTCTGCTGCACCTCTCTCAAATTGTAGGTGACCGCCGACAGGAGGCCTCTGATTGGTCAAATCTACATCCTCTCTACACTATGCATATTTCCTCTTTGGTACCTTATTTTGTGTGTATGACTCTTCCTCATTGTTCATAATCTGCCCGTTAACATTCAGTAGATTTGTAGTAATTGGATGTCATGTGTGAAGGGTGTGAATACTTTGCTTTCATCAGGTTTTCTGTTTTTAATCCTTGCTCCTGATTTCCAGCTGCGTCTCGTATCCTTTTCAGAATCACTTCCTTGTTTTACAGAAAGATTAGATTCCTAAATATAGACCTAGAGCTCCTCATCAGAATCATAGAGAAGGAGAAAATTATGAAAAAGGGAAGTGAGAACAGCTTGCGTTGAAATGTGTAGATTTTTTTTCTCCATAAATAGATTAGGGGAGGGGGAAATGTTGATTCAGATGGTAAATATTTCATCTCCATTTTCATATTTTATTTCTCCTCATATGTTTAACAGGATGTTCTGACCGACCTGTCTGCTGAATGTGAGAACCTGCCTGTGGACGGAGTGTCTGGAGCTTGCTATGCTCACAAGGTGAGGGATGCTGCAGATGAGCCGTTTGGCCCCATCAGAGCTGCTCTCTGCTTTAGTACCAAACAAACAAACATGTCTGCTGCAGGGCATGTGCCAGGCTGCGGGCTACATCTACAAGAAGCTCATCAACGATGGCATCCTGAGCCAGGCGTTCTCCATCGCCCCGGTAAGGACCGAGGTCACCCGGGTTACAAATGTAGACTGATTTTTTTGGCTCTGCTGGTTGAAGAGGGAACATTCATCTGCTTAATCTGCTTAAAAATGGTGGAGGACCTGTCATGATGTGGACAGTTTTATCATCCATGAGATTCTGGGCTGGATGTTGAGTTATTAGTGATTATTTCACTGCAACAAGAGCTCAATCTTTATCAGATTAGCTCAGCCTGGAGGTGTTGTGGTAAAGCAGTGTGTTTGTGTCATGCTTTGATGGTAGGAGTATAAACTGGTCGTCACTGGTCACAGTCTGGGAGCCGGAACAGCCGCCCTGTTGGCCATCCTGCTGCGCCCTTCCTTCCCCAGCCTGCAGTGCTACTCGTTCTCTCCACCAGGGGGCCTCCTGAGGTAAAGCAGGACTTCCTTTCACTAGTTCCTGCTAATAGAAACACCTAGTGCTAATCTGTGCATTATTTTCTGTGTTACAGTAAAGCTTTGGCAGATTACTCCAAGGACTTTGTGGTGTCTGTAATTTTGGGGAAGGACCTGGTTCCCAGGTAAGAAACGATGGACCAGCAGAGGATCGCTGCTGAATTTTATGTTGTAATCAATAACTGTTGTTGTCTGACAGGCTGAGCATCCCCAACATGGAGGACCTGAAGAGACGCATACTGAAAATAGTCACCAACTGCAATAAGCCCAAAGTGAGAGCCTTTCAGAGAAACGCACACAGCAGCATGTTGGTGCGCCTGGCAGTGTCTGATGCGCCTGTGTCTGTGTTTCAGTACCGCATCCTGCTGCAGGGCTGTTGGTACGAGCTGTTTGGAGGAGACCCAGACGACTTCCCTACAGAGATGGACAGCAGGAGGGAGGAGCAGCTCAATCAGCCGCTGCTGGGGGAGGAGTCTCTGATCGTCCGCCACTCCTCATCCTATCACAGCCTGGCGTCGGATGACTCCCCGGTTCACACGGCGACGCACTTGCCGCTGTTCCCACCAGGTCGCATACTGCACATCACAGAGGACGGGCCATCAAGGAGGTTAGTGATCGAATGTTTGGTTTACTATCAAAACCTAGAAAAATCATCTCATTATTAACGTTTCCACCGTCCTGAAACTGGTTCAGAGGGTTTAAGATGTTTTGTTTCTAATTTTGGAACAGCTTTGCGTCACACAAGCTGCTCCACTGCTTCCTTGTAGTAGTGTTGCTAAGCAACATAAAACTAATCAGGTATTATTTCGATATTATATCCCTGACTCTGGGGGCTTGCTCAGTCCAAAAAGAAGATTCCAGAATCGGTTTGGAAATGGACTGAGAAAGTCTCCAGCACCAAAGGTCTGAACCTTGGAGGGAAAACAGAGCAGTTCATCCTCAGATGATGGATTTTAGTAAAACATGGGATCATTTTTAAACAACGAAGCGTCGCCTGTCTTTATCATTAGGAGAAAACACAAATGCACTCCACACTTTTCAGATTAATCTCCTTTTCTTATCTTTATGATGACAAAAAAAGAAAGACCATGGGTCATGAAGACGCTCAGGACACATCAGCTGACATTCCAGTGACATCATTTCCTCCTCAGCTGACGCTCTGGCTCCATCTCTCTCTGCTTGACCTGAAGATAAGACACAGTTAATATGATGGAAATGGAGCGTGGACTTTAGAAAATGTTTCTCTGCACTGATTCCCCACCTCTTATGGTCAGCTGAGCTGAAACATCAGTATCTGTCTGAGGAACATCTTATGCTTAAGAAAGTTATTAAAAGTGCCGGAAGTTAAAGCATATTTTATTTGAAAATGTTATTGTTTATCGACTGATTTAGGGGTCTATTAGGATCCCAGCTGTGAACAATCCTGATCCATTAAAAGGGCAAAATTGCTTCTTCTGCCCAGGAACACTGATCAGAACCTTCTGGAACAAAATTCCTCCAACAATCCAGGCAAAAATGGATGATCTCTGACAGATTAAACCTTTTTATTTCAAGTCAAAGACGATACGATTGGCTGAAGGATCAAAACATTAAACCATCCGCCTCGCTAAAAATAAAGAAGGCAGTGAGCTAAATGACTCCAAGCACAAACAGGATGAAATCCTCTGTTTCCAGTGTGTCACATGGATTTAGAGTGAAAAATAAAAAAAATATGTTTTCTTATTAATAGGTTTAGTTGGTCTTTATTAAATATGTAAAAAGAAAGATCTAAACAATATTAGATCTTAATATATTAGAGCACAAAATCAATATTAGAGCACAAAATCCACACAGGGTCCTTAAAAAGTCTTAAAAGGCATTGAATTCTTCAAAATAAACCTTAATTGGTACTAAAATGTCTTAAATCAGTCTTAATTTGTAAAACATCTTAAATAGGATAATTTTTATTATGATTTATTTTTGTAATCTAAGTAAAACATTAAAATTGACCTTTTGTTTTTATTTAAAAAAAATAAATAACGGCTCGCCATTATTCGTTCCGTCCCGATAGCGACGGCCGGGACATTTGGGAGATACGCCATTTACTTTTTGTCTGGAAAATATAAGCAAGTGTAAATGTAACCAAAATTGTCTCCAGCCAAGAGTTTTCTCCATGGCTAAAACCAGGGAACATACATGAGGCTCAGTGGATTTTGTGCAAGAAGCGATTCAAGCTCGGAACGATGGAAATTAAGGCAGTGGAGTTGCACATGCGAAGCGCGAAACACAAAGCATCAAAATCGAGTTACCGAGAAACGGCCGGTATTTCTCAGTTTTGTTTCACCCTTGTCTCTGCAGCGCCTCCACTTATCACCAAATCAAACATACTAACAAAACGATACAAAGAAAAATAGCTGCAAAAAAGACTTAGCACTGGTTATGTTGTGGCTTTAAAACTGTTAGTTTTGTTCCCTGCTAAAACAAATTTTGTGAATTCAATTAAATAATTGTTAAAATATATCTGTCATTTGTGTGTTTTTAGCTTTCTTCCTGTATGGGAAGCTTTTCAACATTTGAAACATTAGTGCAGTGGTTTATGTTATAATAAACCTTTGGGTTAAGTTGTCACAAGCGTGTTTTTCTTGTGAATTTGGTCTTAAATTTTTATTTCAAGTGGCATTAAAAAGTCTTGAATTTAACTTGCTGTATGCTGTAGGAACCCTGACCACATTTTTGGTCTCTATTTTTTCACTGATTTTGGTCTGAGTTGATTTTTTTTTTTTTTTTTTTCACCTTCATTAAAACACCAAAATGCTGATTGGAGGTGAGCAGGAATTCCACTGTCGCTCCTTTAAACTGAAGTTACTTTGATATTTATAAGATTTTTAAAAAAAAAAGCATAATTTTAAAGTTGAGTGCAAATTATGCTGACCCTGATTTAATATAAACAAAGGTTTTACAGTGCCCTTCACAATTTTTGGCACCCCTGTTTAAGATGGGGTCGAGAATTTCAAAAAGATTTTTTTTTTAAACAACATAGAACCCAAATGCAATAAAAGAGAAAAATGCAACCTTTAACGTACATTACTTTGGTGGTAAATATAAAATCCTACATTTAGAAGGAAAAAAAGTGATTATTATGTGTCTGACAATTATTGGCACCTCTTACAATTCCTCTGAAAATGTTAATTGATTTCCTTTAAATATATTTTTCTGTAGTTGCTAAAGATTGTCAAGGTTTAATAAGGTTCAACTCTCCTCCTGAGGTGGAAAACTCTTCCAGAGCTTCACAGAACAGCTGGATTATAACCAAATGAAAACACTTTATTTATTAGTATTATACTGATTTTAATGAGTCATCATGATCTCTGGTTTCATATTTAGGTGAATCAAAACAAAGCGTGGTGAATGAAGGCAAATATGCATCAAACATTTCTCTTTTTTTTTATAATGCTCCATTTTACAAACATGCAAATCCGTTGATTTAATGCAACCAAATGTGGTTTATGGTGCAAAGGTGCCTCAGGGTCTTCTAACAGGTAAAAGGGTGATTCTTTTTCCTCTCTTCCACAGCTGCTGTAGTGATTATTAAAAGCCCAGCTTTGTCCCAATGTTTCCAGTTTTTATTGTAATTCTCCACAGACCCTCCAGCCTGGGACGATCCGACATGCTAACAGTCGTATCAAAAGCGTTTTCCTCCTCTGGTATCTTAACACCAACCTGCTCGTCTCTCCTTTTGGTTTCCACAGATCCTGCTTTTCTGAAGTGCGTTACCGTGCCGACTGGTCCAGCGAATCGAAGTTCCAGAGCATCCTGATCAGCCCCAGGATGCTGGTGGATCACATGCCGGACGCCGTGCTCCGGGCCCTGAACAGTCTGTGCAGCGAAGACCCCTCCCCCCTCTGCCCGTCGTCGCTGAACAACAATCCGCACGTTTCTATGTGAGCAGCGCCGAACTAGGCCTTCCTCTTCAAATCGCCCGTTTACATCCGATCCAGGAAAAGTCCCACGACTTCACAGCCTTTGGTCTTTTATTAAGCTTCTCAATCACTGGATTGTGAAGCTTTGACTGATTTATATGAATAAAAAAAGAGGAGCACAGAATCATTTATTCTATTGCACTTTTAATTATTTAATAAAAGAATTTAGCTTTAAGTTCCTCCATGAGCGACTTTATGCTGTAATATTTGAATGTTGTTTATCTAATGTGACTTTGGTGCAGTTCGACTGTAACATCAGTGTTTTTGTGTTTGAATGATGTGCGTTTGATAAAGACTGGGCTGTTTAGAGCTTTCAGATTGGATGGGCAGTTAACAACTATAAAATGTCTTATTGTTGTGTTTTAGCTGTGCTGTGGGTGTCTTGTGCTGTTGTTTTAAACATCAGGAAGAACCGTGCCTATGCATCATAACAAATGAAATGAACATTTCTGTGGAAGAATCCACTAAGAGCTGCAGCTGCTCTAAACCTAAACATGGCTGGAAGAGGAAAAACAAAAAAAATGTCTAAAGATTGTGCATTTTTGTTGGAATTTTTACTGCTTGCTCTGGATGTTGCCATATTTTTATTTATTTTTTTCTAAGAGAAGCTTTTGTCTCTGAAACTTTCATGTCCTCATAGGAATGCATTTCAAACCTGAATGCAAATAAAAGCCTTTGTGACCTAAACTCACCTTTGCTCTTTTTAAGTCTCTGCTGACAAATCGAGTCTGGAGTTTGTCCTCCTTCACCCTGAAACCAGGAAGCATGAACAACCACCAACTGTCATCAGAGCAAAGAGGGGCCACATATAGAGGGACACATTTAAAAAAAAAGATTAATAGAAGCTTACTCAAAATTGTTTGTAAATATTTATCTTTTTATACAGAGCTTATGCATATATTTATAGACATTTAGAGGTTTCAGGTCGAAATTTTTAAACCATTTTATCTGTTTTTAGGTAGCTTTTCTTTTACTCTAAGTATGTGCTTGGTAAGTTATTTGTTTATTTTATAATTTCTTCTTTTGTACAATTGATTTTATTATTTTTATTTATCTGTTTTATTTGATATTTGTTGTAGTTCTTGCACCACAGATAATTTTTTTGCACAATGCTGGAGCAGGTTTTGGAAACAAAAATTACAAACCTAATGAAACTTTTATTGTAAATACATATTAGTTAATATTATTACTCTCTGCAGTACTGGATGATATATACTACACATGGGATAATATAATACAAATATGTAATAGTATATATAATACATAAAAGTAATGAATAGCTTAATTTCCAACTAACCGATAAAACACATGAAATGTAGTGTATTAAATTTAATGTTAAATTAAACATGCAAAGATTGTAGATAATGACTTATGTAATTGTTATAAGTATATGTTAGTGTTTATACAATATGTTAACAGCCCTGCCAAGGTGGTAGTGGGTTCATTGTAATTGTGGGAATCTTCTGATTAGCTGACTCTTGATTGGAGCAAGTACGCAGACTTCTGTTCACTTTCCTCTCCACCACTGTTTATCTGTAATCTAATATAAGCTCCTCCAGCACTGCTTTTATAAACCCCGTCCAGCTGAAGCTGTATCTCATCATGTTCAGCTTTAATATCCATAAAAAATGTCTTTAGAAATTCGGAAATATCATATTTTAACAATTCCCAGTTAAGACAGAAAGCTTTTTTTCCTTTTAGGCTTTGCTTCAGAAATATGAAATGAGGCATTCAAATTTTTAGGAAAATATATTTCTGTTTAGGAATTCTAATATTAGGCTTTGGTTTGGAGGATTTAAAATGCTTACAAACAAGTATAAAAATGGATAGATATGAATAGTTGTTTATTTCTTTAGATGAGCCAATATAGTCAACCCTTGATAAAGATTTATTAGACAAAGTATATTATTTTTAAAATTTCCAGATGTCAGTTTGACATTTTTCAATTAAAAGGTTTGGATTATAATAATAAGAACTGCTATCTTGTCTTGTGGGTCAACAAATGTTAAAATTACTTGGCAACATGTTAAAGTCCCCTCCAAAGATGGCTATTTAGATAAGTGATGTATAATGTCTCTTCCATTTTGTTTGCTAAAATAAACATTTCCTCCCAAATCCTTAAATATTTACAAAGATCAACATCCGTTGTTTTGTTTGCACCACAAATGTTGCATTTTTACAATGCTCTTCATATATATATATATATATATATATATATATATATATATATATATATATATATAAATGCACATAAATAAAAATTATGTAAAGGCGTGCTTTAAAAAAGCATGATTAAAGTGTCTAATAATTTTGTCTGGTGAAATTTTGATGGTTTTAAAGGTGATTTTGTAAAAACGAAATTACAATTACTAATTTTATGTCATTTAACTTCATTGAAATGTCCTTGTTTGTATAGATTATTTATTTATTTTTAGAACTTTATTGAAAATTTTGTACAAACATACAGACATATTCTTACACAGAACATTAGACAGGTGCTCTAATAACAAAGAATAAATAAATAAAGAAAGAAAATAATGAAAAGGAGTGTACTTACACTATTCTTTGAGAAATCTTTCAAATATATCTGTGGATGTGTTGCTTTGTTTAGAATCAATTAATGTAAAGGTTTTCATGTAGTCTTTAAATTCAAGCAAGAAACATTTGAAGTTGGGGGATGTTTTGGAATGTATAGATTATTTATTATTTCTCACCCTATATCAGTGCGTGACGTCACGATTGAGTTCAGGCACCAACTTATGTTCAGGGGATGCTGGAAATCCCTGTTTAAAAACTCGGAAGAATACACCTATTTATGTTTTTAATCAGGTTAAAACATAGGAATTGCCATGGGATATTTGAACTTTTTATTTTAAATTTACTTTTAGAATGAGCGAATATGTTACATTAAAAAGAACAAGGTTTGTCTTGAACCTCTCGGTGTTGCTGTGGGTTTGATTCGTTTCACGCACTTTTTCTCCGCCTTCCAGACGTCACTTGGCCATCCTCGGGATATATATAAACTGAAATAAAGATATGGTTTTGAGTCAAAGCGAGTTCAGCTGCTATTAAATAGCGTGCAAGCAGTAGTTTGTGCAATGTTTCTGCTTTATTGGTAGTTCAATACTTTGTGTCTCTCCCATATCCAGAGTGCACGTGAACGCAGCAGCAGCAGCTCATCTGTTGGACAGGGAAACTAATCAGGAGCAAAGTAAAGACTTTTCAACACTGCGAGCTAATAGGCTAGCGCGGCTCCTGAGTCAGCCGTCACTACGAAAACATAGCAGAGACTTTGTTTCTGACAGACAACCTCTCCTCCAGACTGGAAACAACTTTCGAGCCATGTTATAGAGGGAAACAACAGTCGCTTCGTTGCGCGTAAAGTATAAAAGCGACCTGCCTCCGGACAGTCGCGAGCGGCGGGTGGCTAGCTCCATAACGTTAGCCGGAGAAGAAGTAACGGCTTAAAAAAACATGGAGCTGGACGACGTAGTCCTCTACCAGGACGACACCGGGGACTCGGACGTCATGTCCGAACGGGTCGCCGGTTTGGCCAGCTCCATTTACCGAGAGTTTGAGCGGCTCATCGAGAGGTACGACGAGGACGTGGTGAAGGATCTGATGCCGCTGGTGGTCGGGCTGCTGGAGAACCTGGACTCGGTGTTCGCCGCAAACAAGGAGCACGTCGTGGAGCTGGAGCTGCTGAAGGAGGACAACGAGCAACTGGTCACTCAGTATGAACGAGAGAAAGCGCTGAGAAAACACTCTGAGGAGGTGCGTTTCACCACCCATTTACCACCACAATCACTAAAACACTACCTGCTTGGGATGCTTTAGCATTAAAGATTCATCAAACTCTCTATAAAACAACATTTAAAAGTCAGAAATGAAGTTCAATGTTAGGAAGAGGATTAGGGCCACTGAGAAAAATCAAAAAAGTATTATTACTATATTATTTCAGTTTATTATGGGAAAAGGTCAGAATTCTGACTTTGATCTCAGAATACTGACTTTAATCTCAGAATACTGAATCTAATTTAATCTCAGAATTCTGACTTTAATCTCAGAAAAATGACTTTAATCTCAGAAAA